GGCGGTATGGTTCTGTTCTGGGCAAAAACCTCCCTGCCCATCCATGCAGCCTGTCATGAATGAGCAGGGAGAGCAGCAATAATAACCCCCCTAGGGTTAACAGAACAGAACAAGGCAGATATCATTAATGTACTTGATGATATTTAAGTGTAACACTTTATTCAAGATAAAGGAGTCTGATTAGCAAGGAATATCAGAAAGCCAAGTCCTGACTGTGGCGAAAGGAGGAGCTGGGGATGGATGACTCACGTGACCTGCCAGAACTAACGCTAATGCTTAATTTTTGTTTTCTAATCAATTGTAGTATGTGTGTGTTTGGCAGGACTTTGTAATCGGCTTGTCTGTTCTGCTCCGAGGTTCTGTGACAGAGAAACTGAGGTGGGCCTTTAACCTGTATGATATTAATAAAGACGGCTACATCACCAAAGAGGTACAAACCAATAGTACAAAACAAACTGACATCGTCTCTTTAGTACATATATTTGGCATTGTTACCACAATTAGCATTCACTTTCTTCAGGAAATGCTGGCTGTCATGAAGTCCATCTATGACATGATGGGCAGGTACACCTTTCCTTGTGTAAAAGACGATGCTGCATTTGAACACGTGGAGAAATTCTTCCAGGTAACCAACTTTTAACATTCCCATGGAAATGATATCAGCCAGCCATAATCACCACTAAACTCTGTAAACACCTTTGTTTCAGAAAATGGACCGAAACAGAGATGGTGTTGTAACCATAGATGAGTTCATAGAGACCTGTCAGAAGGTAGGCCCGATTAAAAGAGCTCACGTCATAAGAAATCAAACTTTTCTCTATGTTTTGACAGCTATATTTTTTTTTCAACTAATATGAAAATATACTGTAACTCAAAACTTCCTCTCTTGTCCAAAAAGGAAGTTTATCAAAAACTAAGCTACAAAAACAAATAATTCTGAAATACTTCAGAAATAGTTAACACAGGACCAAGAAAAATTTAAAATTTTATTTTATAACAGGATGGAAAATGGGCATGAATAAATAGTTTTGGCACAAAAATCTGAACTAGCATTATACATAAGTGGATATATATGATTTGACACCTTTAAACTTGTTTTCATGCATCTGCTGTTCCTCTTTATGCATAATAATAATAATAATAATTATTATTATTATTATTATTATTATCATCAAGCTACAAAAAACTTGGTTTTGAAATAACAAGAACAACAATAATTATAATAAGCACTATTATTATTATTATTATTATTATTATTATTTTATATTATTATTATTATATAAAAGCATGTCACTTGGTTTGATAGTTAAATACTATTATTATTATTATTATTATTATTATTATTATTATATAAAAGCATGTCACTTGGTTTGATAGTTAAATATTACTATTATTATTATTATCAAGCTACAAAAAACTTGGTTTTGAAACAACAAGAACAACAAGAATTATAATAAGAACTATTATTATTATTATTATTATTATTATTATTATTATATAAAAGCATGTCACTTGGTTTGATAGTTAAATATTACTATTATTATTATTATCAAGCTACAAAAAACTTGGTTTTGAAACAACAAGAACAACAAGAATTATAATAAGAACTATTATTATTATTATTATTATTATACAAAAGCACGCCACATGGTTTGGTAGTTAAATATTATTATTATATCTTTGAATAATAGTTTGATAGTTTGATATTATTTAATAAAATCTATTTAAAAATCATGCTACAAAAACTTGGATTTGAAATAACAACAATCATTATAATAATAGTGATTATTATTATTATTATTATTATTATTAACCAAAAGCATGCCACTTGGTTTGGCAGTTAAATATCATTAGATCTTTGAATAATAGTTTGATCATATTTAATGAAATTTATTAAAAATCAAGGTACAAAAAAACTTGGGTTTGAAATATTAACCTATATTTGCATATCAACAATGCCAAATTGGAACTATCTGAAAAGTAGGTGTGAACACATTATAAATCAGCTTGACTCATGAATATTAATTAGTGACATTTGTCAGTAGAGAATAAACAGAAATAAACAGTCTGATTAATAAGACAATGTAAAATGGTCATGAAAATGGTCAGTTGTTTTGGCACAAAAATCTCCACTAACAATATACAGACAGTGAAACCTTAGAAGGAAAAAATGATGCCTTGAAATCGTCTCGTTTTGATGTCTTGTCTAGAAGTATCTGCGGTTGTTCACCATGCATAGACAGAAGCATCAGAGTTAATGTCAGAGAAATGTCAACACTGGACTGATTTATGTTGATACGGAGGCTCTCACTGTCAGCGCGTGACAGCCAGACCTTTTCTAAACTCTGTCTAACATGAAGCTGTCAGCAACAATCTGCGACTGACGCTTTCCTGCCTCTGCTGTTTTATTAGGACGAGAACATTATGAGCTCCATGCAGCTGTTTGAGAATGTCATCTAGAGCGCAGCATGAAGTGCAGAGTGATCCTGGCTCTTTTTCCACATCGACTCTCAGCATCGTTCCATTAGTCCTCAAGCGCTCCACAGGGACTCTCTAGAAACACTTGTGTTTTGTACCTAGGCCTTGCACATCATCTGTAGCATGTGAATGAATATTTTGATTGATTGCATTGAATGCTTTAACAAAAGGATTGTGGGCCGTCTGCGTGTGTCTCAATTTAATCTTCAGCATTCAAGACAGGCTGTAAATGCTCATTTGTATATATGTAGGTATATGTGTGCTCTTAAACTGATTTCTGCCTAGATAAATTAACTTTTGCATGTTTGCCTGCTATTTGTCTTTTTTTTTTTTACAAAGAAATAAAGGCATCTGTGAATTAATCCATGATGTGCATATGTCGGTATATATGGGATACTGTAAAAAATTTATTTATATATTTAGGTATTATTTCAGATAATTTAATTATGCAAATTTCAAACAAAAATGTATTTATTTATTGATTTATGGGTTGTCTTTTGGAAGGAATGTGCTTAAATTCTTCCATTTATTTCAAGTTCAAGGGCATGACAGTTTTTCTATGTTAAATAAATATTAAGTAATTACATATACATTTTCACAAAGAGAGACAAAAACATCAGAGATTTGCACTAGTCAAGTGCTAATCCAGACAATTATTTAATTGTTTAAATATTATTTTAAAATCTATTAGTTTGTTTGTTTTTATGTTTGTTTATTATTATTTTTATTTATTTCTTTCATTTAGAAGTAATGGGATTCAAATTCATACATTTATTTACTATATTCAGTGGTGTGGCACAGTATATTAATACTAATCAATTAGTACAAATACTAATCCAGACATTTATTTATTTACTTGTTTTAATTGGGAAGTAATGGGCTTAAATTCATACATTGTCAAACATTAAGTAATTAAATATACATTTTAACAAAGAGAGAGAAAGTACTACTATTATTAATCCAGCAGCAATCTTCACTATTTATTTATTTATTATTAATAATATTATTAATCCCTATTATTTATTCATTCCTCCATATATTTCCCATGACAAAAAAGGGAACAGAAAAAAAAAGTAATTAAATGTACCTTTTAACACAGAGTGGCATAAACATTACAGGTTTGCATTAGACAGTTTGATATTATTCATCTTACAAAATTAAATGTGGCTTATTGTTAATTGCTATGTAAACAGTGTCCCAGTGACCAAGAGTTCATGAATCAATTTGTAATTATATTAGCACCCACAAGATGGCAATGCTGTGCTCAAACCTGCTAGTTACCAGAGGAACAGATGCAAGTTCAAGTGAAAGCAGCCATTGCATCAATTCCTTCATTCCTTCTCTCTCTCTCTCTTTATCTCTTTGATTGAGCTTCACTCTGGTTTATGAGTTGAAACATACAGTGTTCATACAGTAACACTGATGCCATTCACATCACAACCTATAAAGCTTCCTCTTTTTCTGGGTCACCTGGCTTCCTCAAACACAGAGAAACAACTCACTATTATATTAAACATGTGCCTCCTCAGAATAAAAGTATTGTATTTTGAGAAAGAAACACACTTGGTTGAGATTTCAGAAAAACAGTGGAGAAATTAGGCCTTGACACACCCAACACTCACAATAGTGAGATTTTAAAGATACTAATATACGTTTACATGATGCATATTTCTGTTCATTTTATTTCTTTGGTAAGCACATGTTTCTGTTAAATAAAGGACATTATGTGTTCACTAGTCTTGCATTCATGGGACGGTGTGTTAACATCTGCCCCAATGGACAATCCACAGGCCTGTTTATGTGCTCGAGCAAGCGTACTTCCTGTGTGGCCCAGCAACCCATCTGAACGTTGGTTATCTGTGCTAGTAATTATCTTGGCGTGCATTTTAAATTGTGGTTGGGGGCAGAGTGTGCATATCTGCGGCGTATGGGAGGAAGTCTGACCCAAAATAGCTGTGACTTCCTGACTGAACGTTCGCAATGAGGAAGAGTCTTACAGGGAGGGGCAAAGACTCCTTTAGCTTGTCAACGGCACGCTCTCATCCGTGGCACAGCTGTTTTCATGCTGCCCAACACTCACAATAGTGAGATTTTAAAGATACTAATATACATGTTTACATTATGCATATTTCTGTTCATTTTATTTCTTTGGTAAGCACGTGTTTCTGTTAAATAAAGGACATTATGTGTTCACTAGTCTTGCATTCATGGGACGGTGTGTTAACATCTACCCCAATGGACAATCCACAGGCCTGTTTATGTGCTCGAGCAAGCGTACTTCCTGTGTGGCCCAGCAAACCATCTGAACGTTGGTTATCTGTGCTAGTAATTATCTTGGCGTGCATTTTAAATTGTGGTTGGGGGCAGAGTGTGCATATCTGCGGCGTATGGGAGGAAGTCTGACCCAAAATAGCTGTGACTTCCTGACTGAACGTTCGCAATGAGGAAGAGTCTTACAGGGAGGGGCAAAGACTCCTTTAGCTTGTCAACGGCACGCTCTCATCCGCGGCACAGCTGTTTTCATGCTGACCAGATGACTTCCATGTTTGCTGACTGGTGCAGTCGCATTATCTGATGTCTGTGCCAGAGTCTGAGTTGCTTTCACTGACTTTGCTGGATTCTCCCACGTGCTGCTTGAACAGTAAGTCACCTGCTTTGTCATCTTGACCTTTACAGGTACATTATCAAATATCAATTCAGATAAACTGACTTAAAATGGATGAGATGTTGGTTTAAAACTTGAATTCAGCTCTCAAATAAAGGTTTCAAAAGGGTTTTCCACAGTGATGCCATTGAAGAACCAGTTTTGGTTTCTCAAAGAACCTTTCAGTAAACAGTTCTGTGTGTGAAGAACATTTTAAAAATCTAAAGAACCTTTTATGTAATTGAAAAGTTCCATGGATGTAAAGGGGTATCAGCCAAAACGTCAAATTCTGTCATTATTTACTCACCCTCATGACGTTCCAAACCTGTATGTAGAACATGAATGAAGAAATTTTGAAGAATGAACAACGTAAAATACTATGGAAGTCAATGGTAACCATACCTATTTGGTTACCAACATTCTTTAGAATATCTTCTTTTATATTCCACAGAAGAAAAAAAGTCAGGTTTGGAACAACATGAGATGATGATCGACCGAGTTTTAATTTTTGGGTGAACTAAATAACTCTGCTAAATAAATGACTAAATGTAACTATTACTGTAAATGTTCCTCATTGAATCATATGTGACCTTGGGCCACAAAATCAGATCTTATAAATATGATGTATGGTTTGATAGGATAGGACAATATTTGGCTGAGATACAACTATTTGAAAATATGGAATCTGAGGGTGCAAAAAATCTAAATATTGAAAAAAATCGCCTTTAAAGTTGTCCAAATGAAGTTCTCAGTAATGCATATTACTAATCAAAAATTACATTTTGATATATTTACAGTAGGAATTTTACAAAATATCTTCATGGAACATGATCTTTACTTAATATCCTAATGATTTTTGGCATAAAAGAAAAATCTGTTATTTTTACCCATGTTGGCTGCTGTTACAAATATACCTGTGCAACTTAAAGGGGTCATATGATGCTGCTAAAAAGAACATTATTTTGTGTATTTGGTGTAATGAAATGTGAAATGTTGGTTTTAGGTTAAAAAAAACACATTATTTTCCACATGCTGTACATTATTGTTTCTCCTCTGTGCCCTGCCTTTCTGAAATGCGTTGATTTTTAGAAAGCTCATCGTTCTAAAAAAGCGAGGTGTGCTGTGATTGGCCAGCTATCCAGTGCGTTGTGATTGGCCGAATACCTCAAGCGTGTGACGGAAATGTTACGCGTCTTACCATATTGTGATGCCGATGCGACGAGACAAAAACATTAAAACCCATTATAAACGAGGCATTCGTTGCATCCAGTGGGGACATAATTACGGATTATAATGACTTATACTGTCTTTTTACGCGTTGCGTTGCATCGCGCTGCGTAAACATAAAACCATGTCTGCATTTGTGATCGGAGAAATGACAAACAACAAGTGCTACTCTACACTGCTCAAAAAACTCGCTTTAAATATATAAAATATAAAAACTCTTTAAATATAAAAAACGTACTTACAAACAGTCTGTGAGTCAGAACAGCCGGCATTGCTGGACTCCGCTTCGTCCACGGTGAAAGCCGATCTGGCGATCCACAGCACGAAGTTGTAGTATTTCCTCAGCAACCAGCACGGATCAGCTCCAGGCATGACGAAGC